CAGGGCAAAGTGAGCGCCACCAGATGATGACAGACGTCACTCCCTCCTTCCCCACCGAGCGCCTTCCCCAGGGCACCTCCGGGCTCCTGTGTGCCTCCCACCCACAAAGGGGGTCCAGGGACGTCCATCCTCATGAACTACTTATAGATGTGGATGCACATCAGATTGAAACAGCTACAGCACAGCCCTCTCCTATTGGCCACGGTGTTCCCCTTTATAGAAGTGTGAAGGAAGAGATGAACCCAGTCTTTAGTCTCTGTGAGTTACACACCTCCCAGACCATCGCTCACGGGGCTAATATCTCCAGAGCCTAGTGGCAGGAGACAGACTCTTCAGCCAAGCGCCTCAACTTAAGGAGGGCGGAGCTCCACCAGGTGCCTCCCATCTCAGGCTGCGAGATCCGGTGAGTGCAAACCCATTGTGATCTGCTGCCAGATGAAGATAGCCCCTCTGGGCCTGTGGCTCTGTGCTGGGTTGTGAAAGGCACTCTCGCTGCGGCTGTGCTGCTGCAGGCTTGCTGACCGTGCAGGGATCTGAGTATTGTATGCCTCAGCTTCCATAAGAACGTCCGAGATGGAAGCCCTACAGCACGCGGTTCAGGGGGCACCTCTGCAGTCTTTGTAAATTATGTGCGGATGGCCTGTACCACCCAATGGAAAGTGATTACGTATAGTGTGTGGGGAAATGAAGCAGTTTATAACTGCATGGCTTTATAGTAAGCACGGCTGAGTTCTTGATTTGTATACATGGAAATACAGAGTAAAATAACACACGGGATGGCGTGTGTCTTGTGTCAGGTGGTAGAATTTGGGGTGAATGGGGCTTTTCTTTAAAAATACCTTTAATGCTAGGGTAATTTTTTTGGCAACCAAAAACAAGGAGGGAAACAAATGACAATACGAAGTCCCAGAAGGGCAGAGTCCACTGAGTCTGACCCAGGCTGGGCTTTCCCTACACTTGAATTGGCTGCCTGAGGCGGCACATGATTAGGGGATGGGGAGTGAGCTGCCTGCCCTTCCGGGCTGGTGTGCCAGGGAGAAGGGTGGTTTAATGAGGAAGGGGGTTGGAGGTCAGGGACAGAGAAGAAACGACGGCACCTCCAAGGGACGTGATCCCGGGAAACCATCCTAAACTAACATTTGAGCTCGTTCAATAAAGATGTTCCTCTTGAGCATGCTGCTCCCTTACAGAACTCTCCATATAAGATTAAATGGGCAGCTTCCCCCCAAAAGCAACCTGCCTGCCACAGTCACTGCCGACTCCTCGTGACCCAATTGGACAGGGTAGAACTGTGTCTGTGGGTTTCCAAGACCGTAACTCTGTGGAGGTAGAGAGCCTCATCTTACTCCTATGGAGCGGTATGGTGGTTTTGAGCTGCCGACCTTGCAGCGAGCAGTCCAGTGTGTAATCCACTACGTTCCTGGGGTGCCTACGACGGGGCCACCATCACTCTGAAACACGATGGGACTTTGATGGGCAGCGGGTGTTTGGTCAGGGTGGAGAAACACTGTGGGCAGAGGGAGGGAAGGTGGTGGCACATGGCCACACTGTTGGATGGATGTGTTTCAGAGTATACAGTTCAGCCAACAATACTAGCTTTGTTAACAACAACATCAGGCACCTGGAAGGGCAGCCACACAGCACTGAGCAGGAGGCTGGGAGACTGTGCGGGAGGGGGCGAGGGGTCCCAGATGGTTACTGGGAAAGGAGGTTAGCACAGAATCTCCCTAGACCAGAGCATAAGCAGAAAGCCTGAGAAATACGAGGGCCCATGCAATCATGGTCAGAACAAGCCAGGGCTTCCTCATTTAAGGTCAACTTTAGGAGCCTCGTGAACTTATTCAGATAGTTTTTAAGAGTCTGTGCCTGTATGTACGCTCTCCTGGCTTTCCTAAGATTCTGAAGGTCACAAGGCACTTTGACAAGTTCACGGGAAGAGCCCGTTCTTCTAAGTCCACCTTCCCATGAACTCTCTAAGGTCACCTCACCCACCGACCCTGTGATAGAAATTAGGCACGCCAGCCGGTGCCTGCTCGAGAGCTAAAAGTTCACTCTAAAACCCATCTGTGACGAACGCCACGGAAAGCCCCGCGTGCCCAAAGTCAAACCACGCGGCCGGCAATAGTGGCTTACACACTCGGGGGCTGACGTCAAGGTCAGTAGTTGGGAACCACCAAGCCGCTCCAAGAAGGTAAAGAGGAGGCTCTTTGCCCCCATAGAGGCGGACAGGCTCGGAAACCCATGTGGGCAGTTCTCTGCTCTGCAACGAGTTGGAGGGAAGTTGTAGTCACGTCTCCTTTCTCGGTGGTCCCATCTCCCACCATCGTTCTGCTAGTCCACCAGCTTCCCCACCCAGGTAGAAAAGAAAAGCACTTCTGCTACCTCAAAGACTTCGTTTGGACAAGCCTTCCTTCTTGGGGGAACCCTGCTTCCCTGGCCGTACTGTGAACCTGCTGACAGCCGTCCTTGGTCAGACACCCTGGCCCCTCCCGTTTCTTGTTCTTCTCTTTCGTTTTCCAACTGGAGCTCACTGCGGTCCTGCGCCTGTCACACTGCCAGTTGCAGGTGCTGTCTTCCTGATGTGCTCCTCTTTGAATCCCTGGTTGTAATGTCACAGTCTTTTCTGAGAGCTCCTCCCCCGCGCCCGGGAGAATCCTGAGCTCTTGTCTCAGAGCTGTGTGCAAACTCCCTTCTCGGGCCTTCCCATCCTGCCCACCCCTGCACCAGCACGGCCGCAAGGGCCACTGTCATTGGCTAATTTGAAACTCAGGGAGAACACGGGTCTCCATGAGGAGCGGTGGTGTCTCTGCCCTCCCTCATGCTGCGTGCCGCCCCTGAGAGCTGTGGGGGACACCAGGGTATCCCTGACGCTGTCATCCAAGGAACGCTTGCCGCCGTTCCTGTTTGCTTGTTTTCTAAGTGCATACCTGGCTGAAGGTACCGCCGCAACTCTCTCGGCCCGAAGAACCAAGACTTACTGTAATTGAGGCTGAAGAAGGCGAATCCATTGCCTGGGAAGAAGGCCCCCCTTTCCATCACAGAGAAGCATTGCATTTTCGTGTTCAATTTGACTGTTTCTTGGATAGTGGTGTCTTCGCCATTCAACCAGTTCCAACTCCGCATACAACCATCCAGGCGAGGGTTTATCTGGAAAGACAGGAATCCCAGGAGTTTCCCGGGGCCCACATATGCTCCCAGATGTAAGGCAGAGTCCTCAGCCATTCCAGAAGCAGGATGAGCCACCCTCTGCTCAAACCAGGCCTGTGGAAATCTCCTTCTGCAGATAAACCCTACCTGTGGTGGATGCTTCCCTTCACAGCTCGACACCGTATCAGATGCCTTACTGGCCCCACTTAATCGGCACACCCAGTGAGTGCGCGTGCTGCTAGAGAGTGGAGCGCACTAAGCAGAGCCCACCTTCCTTGTCTGCGTTTATAGAGTACGGAGGAAAATCCCTGACCACCTACCTAGCTGAACAGATGTGGGAAGCACTGACATTTGTATCAGCCCTGTGCCTGGTGCAGTTTGCCCGGCATCTAAGAAGCCGTTTGTTGCCCAGAGCGAGGGAAATTGTAAATCCAGTGCTGCGAATGGTGCTGCCATCTCGGCCATAACCTTGTCGCATGGTTTTGAGCAAACTGGGTCACCTCAGCCTGGGTCTGTAAAAGGATGGACTGAAGACTGGACACGGTGGGTCTGACTGAGAGGGAGCCCTGCAGGCAGTCCCCCTCACAGTCCTCTGACAGGAAGGAAGTACTAAGCACCCTACCATCGGGGCCTAAAGGTGCTCAAGGCTGTCGCTCCTTGTATTTGTTGTGAAATCACAACCGCTGTGCCCAGGAGTTTAGCCCTTCGCATCGGCCCGCTGGGGAGACGGAAAGGTGTGTGGTGTGAGGAAGGGATGAGATGAGGCAGAATGCACTAATACTGACCTCTTCCCAGAGGCTTTCTCGAACCCCACACCCCGCGGAAATCTTCACAGGCCAACTATCCCAAGATGTTCTCAGAAACAGTCTCCCCAAGTCCGTTTTTAATTTTACTTAAAAGAATAATTCCGTCGTATCTTATCCCCCCACCACCCGCTTGTAAAATAATTTTTTTTCCGCTTGTAAAATTTTTATTGTACCCAGAGGAAAACTCAACCGGGTCTCATACAAAGAGATGGGTGATAAGCGCCTCATATAATGAATGCTCCAATTTGGCTCGTTAAATGTTCGGTGCCCTTTCACCTCCCTCTGGGTCCCTCGCCAAGCTTGTGAACGCTGAACACCTGCCAGCTCGTGGTTCGATCCCGTCCCTGCCCAGACTGCACACTCTCAAAACACATCGCCCGCTGCGCACACTCCGACCCGAGTGATTGACACTGGTACTCACCGGCTGAACGAGGTCTTTCTCTTTAAAGGGAATGCCCCCCACTGTAAGGTTCAAGTGGTACAGTCCTCTGTCCAGCTGAAACAGGTCCCCGGCCACCGCTATTTTCATAACAGCGTCCTTGTTGACTTTGACCACGAGATTCCGCTCCAGCTCCTCGACGGAAATCTGGGGGAAAGCAACGCCATCAGAAGAGGGGCTTCTGATGGGAAAGGGGGCGGGAAGCACCCCTTTGGAAGCACCACCCGCACCCTCTGATGACCACCCACGGGCAGTCTAAAGCTTCCAAGTTCCTTCCCTCGGTGCTCCAGGCGGGTGTGCATGGCCACACAGTGAGCTGACGGTCCGTGTGCTTGGAAAGGGAGGCAAAGGGCAACGCAGGGGGAGAAGCTCTCTGACACGCCTGGTCAGGGGCACGTGTGAGGGCTGGGACTTCATGCATGGTCTTTTCTGGGTCTCCAGAGTGCTCTGCCTTTTGACAAGGCACGGTCACCACTTTCCGGTCACTCCCCTCTTGGAAAATGCACAAGCTCTTCTCCTACTCTGGCAGGTTCTGTTTACACGAATCTGGCTGGCTCGTAGGTCGAATACTAGTACACAAATAAATAAATTGTAGCACAAGTCCCTCTGTCTGAAGGTCCAATGGCCGCTCTTGCTGCCTCTTCGAGGACCAGTGAACCACTGGCTGAGGTTGGCACAACATTTCAGAGAGGAGGGAAAATCCAGGCATGGGTCTGCGGGCTCTGGGCCCCTCACGGGCAGCCTCCACGCAGATGTGAGTGGCTGTCATAAATGTCTTTTCTAGAGCAAACGCCAAAAGACTTGTGTCGTCTGTCCTCGACTGCTCATTTTCTGAGCGAGGTGTGTTCTCTTTCTCCTGACACCACACCCAAGCACAAGTCAGCAACGCAAGGCAATGTCCACCCGGTGGCAGCAGACAGGACTATCTGGAGCGGGACTTGAACCTATCTGCTGGGGAACTAGAAACCAGGCCAAACGCTCAAGGAAACTCAGTGTTTCGAGCCTTTTGTGTGATTGCAAAATGTTGGCACACATGTAGAAAAGCTCACAAAAACATAAGCAAGCAGCTTAATGAATCATTGTAAAGCACACTCATATAATCACCACCCAGATCAAGAAATAGAACCTGTAAGTTCCCCAAAGCCCTTCATTCTGGGAGTCCTTTTTCCACCATAAGTCCTGCCCTGCTAGAGAAACCATAACCCATGCGCTTTCCTTTAGTTTATACTGCTGAAAGCTAAATCCCAAAAGAAAGTAAAATCACTCAACATGTATTTTTTGGGTTTGGCTTCTTTCTTCTCAAACGTATTTCTGAGATTTATCCCCGTCATTGTATATTGTTTCATTTTACGGCTTTACAGTATTCCATGATAAGACTACCCCAACTAATTTACCGATGCTACTGCTGAAAAGGATGTCAGGTTTTCCAGTTTCGGGCTATTACCCATCATGTTGCTGTACGTGTATTCTGGTGCACATGAATAATGACTTCTCACATGGTTACAAGGTCCCGTGGGTGGTGCAAAA